TTAAATACTGAAGTGTGATTTTGAAGAGTTTTATCGAAATGCCAAAATAATATCTTTATGCCCCAATTATCAAAGATTCTGGGGCATATAGTTTATGCTCCTTCCATCTGTCTGCCTGTCTGTTTATCTGTTTATGTGTTTGTCCGCAAAAAACGTTAACCTCGGCCATAACTTTTGATTGGTTGGATCTATGGCTTTTATATTTCACATGTGTATTTCTTGCCAATTCTTTGATCTTTTTTACCTTGGTGTTTGAACCACTTTTGCAAATTTTTACCAAACTTTAACTTGGACATAACTTTTTAACGATTGGTGCTGTGGCTGTTATACTTCACATGTGTATTCCTCGGGCCAGAACCTTCTTTAGGCATCAACAGTTTTGACCCATTGCCCTTGACCTTTGAGATTGACCTACTTTTCAAAAAAAATTAACAATGCTTATAATTTTGGATCGGCTACGGCTATCATATTTCACAAGTGTATTCTTTGTGACAAGATCTTCCATTGGGTATCATTTATTTTGACCTTTAACTTTTAATTTGACCTATTTTACAAAAACTTTAACATTGGCCATTACTTTTGAACAGTTGGTACTAGGGATTTCATATTTCACATGTGTATTCCTTGTGACAAAATCTTTCTTTAGGTACCAACATTTTTTTATCTCTGACCTCGACCTTTGATTTTGACTTGCATTTGAAAAACATGAGCCTTCGCCATAAGCTGCCATACGAGGGCATCAGTGTTTCACAAACACATCTTGTTTTTCATGCAATATATAGGTTATGTAACTAATCTTTCAGAGAATAGGTCGGACAGTATAAAAAAACACAAAGTTTCAATCTTGAAATTCTTTTTTAAATACGCTTTCGACAAGTATTTCATCTTGCTTTAATCAGAGCTGGTTGAAAATACATCTCGTATATGGAAATGTTCTTTTTCCAATTGTAAGTCAAAAGGCAAGTTTGATGAGATTGGTAGGCGTGGTTTTAAATATTGTGCCGAATATTAGATACATTACTCTTAAGGTAGAAAAATATGTAGGGTGTGACTTGAATTGGCAGGTAAGACAAACGTGCACTGTAAACCTCCAAAGTTTTCAATCCATACATTCCAACAATGCTGCAAAATGCATATTGTGTGCATTTCATCACTGAGAAAATGTTTATTTATTTTTCTTTTGTCATTTATGTCTATCTATTTTTGATGCAAAGAAAATACTCAATTCACAGAAAAGTAGAGCATACTACTAGTATACGATACTCGCATTTGACCTCCAAGATAAGATGCAATATGGTATTTTCAAATTCAATAATAACATATTATTTTATTAAAGAATATTCCTCCCTTTTTTTACTCGTACACATTCCGCACGTTTTAAATATGTGCTTTAAAAATATTGGGAGGGGTGAATATAATTTTGGAGGGGGGTTCCTTTACACAAGCATCTGTATTTGTGAAAATGTTGAAGAATTATCAACATCTGCACATCGTATAATTGAATGTAACTCAATTAATCGTAATGTTTTTTTTTTTAATCTCTCAAGAGATACAGAACAAATCAAGTGCTATACAATATACTTTTTAACCCGATTTCTACCATTTACAATCAACAATTTCTTAGCTATAATCAAGAACATTGTATTTTTAAATCAGATGGAGGTAATAAGTCGTACAAAAAAATTTTCATCAAAATTTCCTATGTTTAAATACTCGATTATAGATCTACAGATATCTCTGCATTGCATGCACGTAGAAAGAACCTTTGACACTTTTGAAGGGTTATGATAAACGATATTTCATCTTACATGTCCTTCAATTTTTATCTGTATTTACATGTATCTTTAACGAAGTGATCTTTAAATATTGATTACCTCATGTCCCGTGGTACTATTCCAAAGTTCATTGACACACTGGCAATGTCATTTATACATGTGAGTCGAAGACAGACACATACATTCCATTGATAATCGAATATTAGTACATATATAAGGGAAGTCAACGAAGGAAAAGATAAAGACATCAAGTTTGTCATATAACTGAGTTCTTTGTGGTCTTAATGTCTGTAGTCAGTAAAACACCCACATTTTTAATACATGTGGCAGACTCGTTTGTTTCGTTTAGTTTAAGTTCACTGGATTAAAAAAATCGACAAATGATTGAAAATAACTCTTGGTAGTTAATGCAAAATTGGTTATTATTCTCAATGTCAAATTTAGAGTTAATTCATCAAGAGTTTTATTTCTATTATGCATTAGTTTATATATATATATATATATATATATATATATATATATATATATATATATATATATATATATATATATATATATATATATATATAAATTCTACTTCTAAGAATCTAAAAATAGGTCAGCGAATGAAAGAACACAAATAACACTTCTCGGATTTCCGACAGATAGTTGAAAGATCTAGTCTTCAATGAACCTAGATATTGTCAATGAGGAACTCCAGCATATCAATTTAGACTAGCTGTGTGTAGAATCAAGATGCTCTTATTTTTTTTTTTATTGACCACTCGTAAGATATGGAGATTTCTTAGTTCCATTTTTATTAAAGAAGCAGTTGCTTATGATATCAAAAAAAATTCCTGTTAAAGAACAAGGTACAGTTTTGGCCAAAATTTGCCCTGTTCAGGAAATCAACCAAAATACTATATAAAATATTGGAATATGTTAATTTTATGAAAAAAGTAATTTTTATCTGATATCTTTTGAAGCGCCTGAAATATACTCCTTTAAAAATGCACACCTGCTGTCTTGACGTTCGCCCATTTTATAAAGACAATAACTTACGTTATGAAACATTACAATACGAGGGTTGCTGGGATATAATTGAGAATTTACTTTTTCTCCATAAAAGAAAGAGATCATTTCATGAAAATTCTTTATCAAGAAGAAATAAAATAAATGTGCAAAATTTCTAGTTCATATGATTATTAGATAAGCTCCGATGATATTATAAACTTGAATATGTCCACTGAACTGGGGCAGCATGGCTACGTCATTTTAACGTCACGTCAGCCTTAGATTATTTTCTCGTGTTGAAACGATTGGAAAGCGTTAATTCTTTTTCTGTTATTACTTATAAATGTATAACTTTGTAGAAAACAAACTCTCTCTTTTCTTAGTCAATTCTTTGAAAAATAAAATGTGTGTTGCCACAATTGAAAATTACATGAAATGTCATGTACACTTTGACTATCGTGCAGTACCGACTTTTGCACCGCTGGTCAACGTTTTTTAGTCCCTAATAATTGATGGTCATCTAGCGCCTTTGGTTTCACTCTAATTGAATAATTTGTGAGGAAAAAATATACAAATGAAAAAATGAAATGTTTCTTCGCATCATTATTGTTTTAGCAGGTAGTTTAGTCTAGACAATAGTTCTCCACATGGCTACATAAATTTTTGTATACTCGCTCCTCCGCATTGACGTCATAATCCATTTTGCTGTCGTTTTCAGATTTCTATTTACACGTAGTAAATATTAATTATGATTGTTGTATTTCTAGTCTAAATTCCATCAAAATTGCATAAAATAGAGTCAAAATAAAATTGAAAAATTACATACATAATTTAAAAAAAATTCCCATTCTGGTCCACGAAACTACGTACGTAGTAGTTATCGATTTTCATTATCTGATTTCATGACTGCGCCGGGTACCCCCACCATTGACTCATTCATATACCACAGAAAAGAAAAAAGACAAAATATTTCTGAAATATTTCTTGCTTTTATTTTTTATGTATGTTTAGAGAAAATGCCAATTTTCACCAAAATACTTTCATTATAGAGAGGATAATATACACAATCTCCCAATAATTCCAGAAGATCCCTAGTATACTACAAATTCCGTAGGTCAAGACCTCGTTATTTGTATTCTAAATTACTATACCTCCCCCCCCCCCCCTCCCATACTATCACACACAAAATTAAAATCAAAGTAAGGGTTTTTACCATCCCACCTAAACCAACAAGAAATATTCCCATTTCTTAAATTTCTATGACTGATAAAAAAAGGGGGAGGGCTTCCTCCTTTAAGTGAAAGAGGGAAATTGTTTGACATTTCTCCGATACCTGCGAAATGGTGTTTGATGTTATTTCTGTCACTCCTTGGACCCGTTTTACAAAAGAACTTACGACTAAGACCGAAAACTTAAATTGGTTGTAAAATTTTGCAATATAAATGATTTTGTTTAAAATTGCTAGCGTAAAAATATCTTACTACATTCCTTTCAAAAAGATTAAAACCATTTTTAATATAATGTAATATAAAAAGTTAGAAGCAGAATTAAATTTTGGTCTTAGTTGTAAGTTCTTTCGTAAGGCCCCTTGCCTTTGATTTCACCCCCTTCCTGAAATGAAATACCCTTTTTGTATGTTTGGTGATTGATTTAACAACCACCCTTTCTTTGTTTTCTTCTGTTTTAAGGAACAAATACTGCAAAATCACAGGATCCTGTGCGACTTAATTGTATTTTCAGAGATAACAGTAATTACAATAAAAATAGTAGAAAGTCAGCAACAAAACATAAACGAGAGACCTACTGTAGCTGATTCTAAGTAAGGAAATTTCACTTTCCTAAAATTCTATTTCGAGATGAAGAATTTAAAAGTTATGCATCTGGCCAACATCGAATTATTTTAGGATTTAAGACACATCTCTCGTTATGGAAAAAATATGTATTTTAAGAGAAATAAAGGAAGTTTCTGCACTTTTTTGGAAATCATCAAATATTTGCACCTGTGTTAATTATTTCGCTAATCATTATGAATATAATTGTTATATTTGTAAACATAATAGTAAAAATTACTATGAAATAAATAAGAAATTGTTCAGCATAACTTGTAAACATACATTTACATGTTCAGACACATCTCTCGTACTAATACCGAATGACATTATATTAAATGACATTGGAGAGAATGACATTGGAGAGAAGAAAATAAAACGTTTTAAAAGCAATTGAGTTCTTTCACTCTTCAACATCACTGTCCTCATCACTGTCTGATTCATCGATAATTTCGGGTAGATCTGATGCATCATTAACAGAGGTGCTCCAATTCCTGACACCTTTCACAGAATCGACTTCATGTCTCGCGTGCGCAAGAAACCACACGACACTGGTGATGTGGCCACACATTCCGACTACTCTGCTCCCCGCCTTACACTTACAAAACCAACCATCAATCACACCATCATTATAACTTATCCAGCACTGATAATTTCTAGCCGATATATGTCTACTCTGGATTTTAGCGGATAGTATTCCCTGTATATCATCGCTTACTAAAATCTCGTATTTACCTTCGATGTCCGTGTGTTCGTGTGTATATGATCGAGCCATACGAAGTTGGTATACCCCCAAAGTTAGCTCTCTTATACCATTTTCGTCATATTTTGGGAAATCTGGCGCACACTGTTCGGCGTCAACCTTTACCCAACGAACTGGCCTCTTGTCCAAACCCTCTTCCTCCACACGTTTCTGTAGTGCATTTTCTTTTCGGGAGAGATGAAGCATTTTTGCAGCAATTGACTGATCATCGGATGTGGTAGTGCACAGTGGTGGCCGATACCTATTACAAATGGCTGATACAATTCTGATATAATCCCCGATGAATGGTATCTGGGTGTTAGGTAGGGTCTTCTCCAGGTATTTCCATTGTTTCAGTCGAGCATTAGCAGCTTCCACAACCCATCTTACCTATGAATGAAAGCATATACATATAATCACAAAATAAAATATGGTTTCAGGTACATGAAGCAGTGCTAGAGGAATACACGTTTTTGTTAAAAATAGCAGGGGGGGGGGGGGGATGGGATCGTCGACAACATCTAACATCAGTTTAAACCGATGTACATATAATAAAATTTCAGTTCTGTTATAAAAATGTTTTGATCTTTTTTTCTTTCTTTTTTTAATTTCATTTTATTTATTTATTTATTTATTTATTTTTTGGTGGTGGTGGTGGGGGGGGGGGGGTATGTTATTGCTGTAATAATTAATATTTGATTCATCTACCTTTGTAACCACTCTAGAAATATTTGAATCATGGGTTGTCAGTTGTTTATCTCCCCTCTGTATGAATGACGGCATTTCCATTTGGATACCAAGATCTTCCAACACATCTCCAGTGTCCCTGAATCCCCTATCCACAACAAACACGTCATCCTCTTTTAACCAGGATTTCATTTCTTCAGTGTTGTGTAGAATCATGTGTTTTAGAATGCTAGCATCGTTATTTTTTGAATCCGCTAGATAGGGTCCAAGAACGGAAATTATGTAACCCGTAGTAGTTACAACCATCATGGGTTTAACGAGGGGCCTATGTTTGTGCATGCTGTAAGACCTTCTGGCAAAGGCGAAGTTAGAACTTTTCTGGATATACCAGGTTCCATCTAGAACTAATATTGCCGGATCTGCCGTAGCACTGTTCGTGAAAAGATCTCTAGCAAGTTGGCGGGTGTGGTTCTCAATCACTGCCTCCCGCGTGATGTGCTGAAAACCCAGATTTTGTGGTACAAAATCTGTCATCAGTGCTTTTCTTCCTGATTTAATAGCTCGTCTTATCTGTATAAAAGAATAAATGTGAAGTGATCCTTTTCACAAAATATCTAACGACTATGTATATACATATTATTTAACATATTTAGTTTATAAATAGAATAATGACTGCTTTTGCATAAAACAATAGATACAAAATTATGTAAAAACCTGATGCTTCGTCATGTTGAATAATACGCCCAGCAATTTGTTTGACATTGCTGTACGCAGTTTCACCAGGAGAATGGCAATGCATGTCCTCTTACTTCTTACTTTTGTTGAGTTGATACTGGTCACCGTTGACACAACATCTTCGAATTCACGACGAGTAAGTCCAGTTAGAATCTTGTAGTCGTCATCATCCATGTTGCCCTCATCATCAAAATCGAGCCTGGAATTGCGGAAAGCTATTTCCCGTAAGTCTTGAATGATGTTATATACTGCGGTTCTATTCAACATTACACCCTCACTGGTTTTAATATTTTCTATAGCTTTCTCCGAAAGCTTTCCATTTATTAAGTGACCTGTACAACACCTTGCTCCTGACGGAATTATGATTTCTCCTATGATAAGTACATGCAGGCGAGCTTGATTTGAAAGCGAAATAAGTTTAGGTCCTGGCTTTTTGCACACAAAACAATATCCATGACTTTTTGTTGAAGATGAGAAAGGTAATGCAACAGATGGCGGACTTGATATTTCTGTCAATTTAGTGCGTTTGGGAGATGTAAAAGATGGATCATTAGCCTCATCCTTATCACTTACAGGAATTGTACAAACCTCCCTTTTTCGAGAAATGTTTCGGCATTTATGACGGCACTTGTTGCACAGTACGTCTGATTCTGTTGCACCAACTGCAAATTTTTTTGACAGAATGTTTATATATCCCGACTGTACTGGACGACGTTCTTGTGGAGGTGGTCTTCCTCGACACAAAACACACGAATAATGTCTCCTATCCATTCTGAAAAAAATGATCATGTATAATTATTTTCAGATATGTTACATATAGTGTAAAAAAAGTGTATTTTCTTCATCAAATACATAGTACATGTAACATGACATAGTAAGGAAAAAAAAAAAAACACGCATGGCGGATTCGAACCCACACCCTTATTACCGTACCATATCGTGTCGTACAATATTCGATACGGACTATTCACTACCTATATGCGAGCACGTTATTTAAGACCTACAAATGTATACAAACTCAAAATAAAGTAACAAGCTGAGTTTGAAACAGACAATATTCAATAAATATGCCGTCTAAATACTAGTTTTCTTTTTTATTATGCATGTATGTATTGTAAAGATTAAAAATAACACTAGGCTATCTAGCCATGGCGTCAAAGGTCCCGAAAGCTTATACAGCTGTTGTCACCGGTACTTGCAGACGATGTAAATATTAGAATGGCTAGCCTAATAATTTTTGCTAAAACATACAATATTTTTAATGTAAAAAATTAAATCATTATCTAAGTTTCAAGATTCAGTTCGTAACATTTCTCCCTCTTAGCTTTCATCTGTTCACAAGGCTTTATCCGCCGTGTACGCGTGTGACGTACAATCGTCGGTTAAATAGTTGATCATATTCATGAAAACTGCACATATAAAAATTTTCACTCATAGAAGTGATATGTATATACAATTTTTTCTCACCCGTAAGATCTTGATGTCGGTAAACCAGAATCCTGGTACATCTACTTCTGTTTACATTAACCCATGGTAACGAAAATGACGTCATTCAAACGACGAGATGAAAATTCCGGATAATTTATATATGTTATTCAAAAAAAAAAAAGAATACAGTTTGCCAAGACACTATTATAAGCTTTACTGAGCACTTAAATGATATACTGCTTTCAACTATCTTGAAATCACCGTACTGAGGTTATAATTCGAGAGTTTATAACATCTACTACCGACATGGCAACCGTAATGATTAGAAATTGATCGAACTAATTTTTAAGATTTTACCATGTCCACAGTCCTCGCCCACGATGAAATTAAGACTGAATATGGATTTACACTTCATATTCATTCTGTCAAAATTTAATCGTGGGCGATCACTGTGGAGGTATTGAATTTTGACTTTTACTGGCTATTTTTTGTACAAATAATGGCAAATGAGCCAAGGATATTATCTTTTTGACAGTGCATATTGCGCATGCGTACTAGTGGGTTTTTTTAAATATATGTTTTGGTGTCTATGAGGGTTACTTTATTAAATAACAAAAAAGAAAGAGTTAAATAAACATATTCAATTTTTGGGAAAATCACCAGGCAAACTTTGGCTAAAACTGTACCTTGTTCTTTGTCGGATTTTTTTTTTTTATAATTTTAGGAGAATTTAACATTTCGCACACGATTCACCCTTCACTCTAGCTCAGTCGGCAGAGCTCTCGGTCCGTAACCGGGAGGTTGTGAGTTCGAATCTCGGCCGCGACTGACCTAAGCCGATAAAAAATGGGTAGCAACTGTTCCTTCGCCATGCGCTCGGCACATTGAAGTGAAAGTTGCGGGTCCTTCGGATGAGACCTTAAAAACCGAGGCCCCGTGTCACGATAGGCGTTGGCACGATAAACATCCCTCACTGCTCAATGGCCCTAAGTGCCGAGTAAAGGTCAAAATTTGAAGCCCTTTACCGGTATATGGTGACGTCTCTATATGAGTGAAAAATTCTCGAATGGAACGTAAAATTACATATAATCAATCAATCAATCACACATTTACTTCCTTGAATATGTTATTGCGCGCGCACTTTTAAGTTTCTACTTCACAGCAGTTATTTTTTTGTGAGGAGTGAAGATAGGAGCTTAGCGAACATTTCCTGGTCTCTGTGATGTACCTTTGTTTGTAACTATATGAAATTTAGAAATCCAGTATAGGTACGGTAACTCAAATTTACTTCTGTTGACTGGAATGTTAAGTGATAAGTGTTAAATACTGAAGTGTGATTTTGAAGAGTTTTATCGAAATGCCAAAATAATATCTTTATGCCCCAATTATCAAAGATTCTGGGGCATATAGTTTATGCTCCTTCCATCTGTCTGCCTGTCTGTTTATCTGTTTATGTGTTTGTCCGCAAAAAAAGGTAAACCTCGGCCATAACTTTTGATTGGTTGGATCTATGGCTTTTATATTTCACATGTGTAATTCTTGCCAATTCTTTGACCTTTTTTACCTTGGTGTTTGAACCACTTTTGCAAATTTTTACCAAACTTTAACTTGGACATAACTTTTTAACGATTGGTGCTGTGGCTGTTATAATTCACATGTGTATTCCTCGGGCCAGAACCTTCTTTAGGCATCAACAGTTTTGACCCATTGCCCTTGACCTTTGAGATTGACCTACTTTTGAAAAAAAAAATAACAATGCTTATAATTTTGGATCGGCTACGGCTATCATATTTCACAAGTGTATTCTTTGTGACAAGATCTTCCATTGGGTATCATTTATTTTGACCTTTAACTTTTAATTTGCCCTATTTTACAAAAGTTTTAACATTGGCCATTACTTTTGAACAGTTGGTACTAGGGATTTCATATTTCACATGTGTATTCCTTGTGACAAAATCTTTCTTTAGGTACCAACATTTTTTATCTCTGATCTCGACCTTTGATTTTGACTTGCATTTGAAAAACTTGAGCCTTCGCCATAAGCTGCCATACGGGGGCATCAGTGTTTCACAAACACGTCTTGTTTTTCATGCAATATATAGGTTACGTAACTAATCTTTCAGAGAATAGGTCGGACAGTATAAAAAGACACAAAGTTTCAATCTTGAAATTCTTTTTTAAATACGCTTTCGACAAGTATTTCATCTTGCTTTAATCAGAGCTGGTTAAAAATACATCTCGTATATGGAAATGTTCTTTTTCCAATTGTAAGTCAAAAGGCAAGTTTGATGAGATTGGTAGGCGTGGTTTTAAATATTGTGCCGAATATTAAATACATTACTCTTAGGGTAGAAAAAATATGTAGGGTGTGATTCTAATTGGCAGGTAAGACAAACGTGCACTGTAAACCTTCAAAGTTTTCAATCCATACATTCCAACAATGCTGCAAAATGCATATTGTGAACATTTCATCACTGAGAAAATGTTATTTATTTTTCTTTTGTCATTTATGTCTATTTATTTTTGATGCAAAGAAGATACTCAATTGACAGAAAAGTAGAACATACTAGTAGTATACGATACTCGCATTTGACCTCCAAGATAAGATGCAATATGGTATTTTTAAATTCAATAATAACATATTATTTTGATAAAGAATATTCTTTCCTTTTTTTAATCGTACACATTCCGCACGTTTTAAATATGTGCTTAAAAAATATTGGAAGGGGTGAATAAAATTCTGGAGGGGGATCCTTTACACAAGCATCTGTATTTGTGAAAATGTTGAAGAATTATCAACATCTGTACATCATATAATTGAATGAAACTCAATTAATCGTAATGTTTTTTTTAATCTCTCAAGAGATACAGAACAAATCAAGTGCTATACAATATACTTTTTAACCCGATTTCTACCATTTACAAATCAAAAATTTCTTAGCTATAATCAAGAACATTGTATTTTTAAAACAGATTGAGGTAATAAGTTTTACAAAAAACAATTTCATCAAAATTTCCTATGTTTAAATACTCGATTATAGATCTACAGATATCTCTGCATTGCATGTACGTAGAAAGAACCTTTGACACTTTTGAAGGGTTATGATAAACGATATTTCATCTTAGAAGTCTTTCAATTATAATCTGTATTTATCTTCAACAAAGTGATCTTTAAATATTGATCATCTTAAGTCCCATGGTACTATTGCAAAGTTCATTGACACACTGGCAATGTCATTTATACATGTAAGTCCAAGAAAGACACAGTAAGTAATTAATTCTTCAATCCTTAGATTTAAACCCATTACGTAAATTTGAGCTGTGTTATATAATTTTTTTTTCCAGCTGAATGCCCGCACTATAAAACTATTCTGACAAGTCTTATACTATTTTAAGTAAAAACCGAATTATGGCCTTTAATTCAAACAAGACGTGTAATTGTTGGTTCAAAGGGGGATGAAAGCTCAAGTAGGCTTTTCTGATCATCCGCTAACCGTCGTCCGTCCGTCCGTCCGTTTGTAAACTCTTCACATTTTCAATTTCTCTAGAACCAATGGGTCAATTTTTATGGGATTTTATATTGTTGGGCCAAACATCCTTCCAAGAGTGGGTTATTAAAAAATATTCCCAAGAACCAATGAACTAAAAGAGTTGAAACGTACGTGAAAGCTTTCTGAAGTAGTGTACATCCTAACATGTCTTAATTGTTAAAATTATGGCCCCTCGGGGGTAGAGTGCAGCCACAATAGGGAATCAAAGTTTTACATTGAAATACATAGGAAAAAATCACTACACCAGAAGAGCTGAAACTTATGTGGAAGCTTTTTGAGGTAGTGAAGATTGTAAATTATTCAAATCATTCCTCTGGAGTAGGGTGGGGCCACAATAGAGGATCGATATTTTACACTGAAATATATAGGAGAAATGTTCTTCTCAAGAACCACTGGACCAGAAAAGCTTAAATTTAGGCGAAAGCTTCCTTAGGTAGATTGTAAATTATTCAGATCAAGGTTCCCTTGGGACAGGGAGAAGCCATAGTAGGGAATCAAAGTTCTACGTTGAAATCTATAGGAAAATCCTAAACAACCTTCTTTTTAGTACTGCTGGATCAGAGAAGCTGAAACTTAAGTGGTATCCTCCGAAGGTAGTGAAGATTGATAATAGGTACCCGGGGGTATAGGGTGGACCAAAAATAGGGATTACATTGGGAAAAATCTTTAAAACCCCTCTACTCAAGAACAGCAAACCTTTGATAAAATATATTAATATGGAAGCATCCTCTAGTAGTGTAGATTCTTTTTGTTCAAATTACAGCTCATGTGTACAGGGCGAGGCACCAAAAGTTGATCAAAATTTTACATAGGAATACATGTACATAGGGGAAAAATCTGATGTAGAACAAATTGACTCAGGTGAGCGTTGTGGCCCGTGGCCTCTTGTTTTGTTTTTAATATTGCATATTACTGTACTAATAAAGAAGAAAAATAATTACTCTTCATATTTATTTTTGATATTTTGATTTTTTAGATGGCACAACCCAAAATGAATATGCCCCGAACAGCCCAACATTTTTTAGAGTGTGGCATTCAAGAATGTGAGAGAAACTGTGAATTCTATTGCAACTCCTGTCATCACAAATTGTGCAAACAATGTAGAGATGAACATCTGAAAAGTCCAGAAAACAAGAAGCATGAAGTGGTGCTTTACCAGCAGCGTAAAGGAAAACTTGTTGAGAAATGCAAGATCCACCCCACTAAAGATGTGGACATGTTTTGTGAAGAATGCCAAGTTCCATTATGCTCTAAATGCGCTACAAAAATACACCAAAAGCATACATTTATTGATCTTGAAGTAACCTATGCAGAGAAAATTGTGCGCTGCCAAGAGGAAATGTCCAGAATTCACGATTATTTTCTCCCCACTTCACATGCTTTACATAAAAAAAATACAGAAGAGTTCTTACAAATCAAAACAATGATGGACAACATCAGAACATCCATGAAGACTGAAGGTGAGTCCCTGAAAAGTCTGGTGGACACAGTTGTATCTGAGAGCATAAAACAGCTAGACCAGATGGAGAAATCCCTATTAGAAGATTTAAAAACTCAAGACAAGACATTGGATGATTACATCACTTACCTTAATAACCTTGTCAAAGAGCTCCACAGATGCCTGTACTCTACAGAACCCCAAAAAATAATATATGCAAAGAAGACGATTATCCGATCCATACCAGAGACAACAAAACCAGTCACACCAGAATTTACTGCTGGTCAATACAGCAAAAGCGATGTTGCCGAATTACTTGGTAAAATAAATGTCCCCTGTGATAAGACCGAGAAGAGCGAAAAAAGACCGAAACAGAATGTTTACAACAGAGCAAAGATACCTTCATACGAACAGATGAAAGAAGATCGAAAGAAATCTGTCAAGAAACAAACAATGTCTCTATCTGCCTCTGTCACTGAGGTAAGTGACTTCAATGTATCGAGTGTTAATGAAATATACCATACATCACTAGATCAATCAGACAGAATCTGGATCAGTGACAATGACGGTAATTTTGTCCAAACAGATCTACAGGGGAATGAGTTACAGAAGATTATAATCAGAGGTGGATATGACGGTTATCACACAGTCACACAGGACGGGATTCTGATCTTTGCAGATAGAACAAAAAAAGTTATAATTAGGGTCACGCAGAATGGCAATTGCACTGAATTCATTGAAACAGGGAACTGGGAACCATTCAGCATACATTCCTCCCACATCAACGGGGACTTACTTGTAGGGATGTGGAAAGATAAACAGGCTAAAGTCACCAGGTACAACAAGACAGGAAAACAACTTCAGAACGTACAGAAGGGCAACGAAGAACGGGGACTGTATAGTGTACCACATTACATAACAGAAAACACGAATGGAGATATCTGCACAGCAGATTATAATGAAGGAATAGTGGTGGTGAATAAATCTGGACAACACAGATTTTCCTACACCGGTCAGAAGTTAAAGTTTCGTCCCTTTGGAATATGTACTGATGTCCTCGGTCACATCCTGGTGTGTGATAGCAATAGTGAAACTGTTCATCTCCTTGATCAGGACGGTCAGTTCTTGCATCTATTACTCACACGACAGCAAGGGGTAGACCGTCCCCGTAGTCTGTGTGTGGATAATAAAAACAATCTCTACATTGGGCAACGGGATTCCAAAACACTGACAGTGTACAAATATCTTCAGTGAATGGCGTTTTTCAGAATGGAAGAAATTGAATCGATTTTGTTCTATTATACACTCACTGTCCATGCATGCACTTTATTCAATCTAAATTAATCGCATGAATTGAATCATAATAAACGTTACTTATCATTACTTTGCACCAAATTCATAGTTTTGAATCTTTCAAGCATAAACAATTCCTCATTTAAACTCATTATAAATCTTGCTTGTTATTACTGTATACCAAATTACTAATTGTGATATTGCTGCAGGTAATTAACTTGTCTAGAATTCATTGATTATTTTAAAAAAAAAGAACACTAATTTAAAAATTAACATTTAGTGTATTTTCAAGACAAATTTTTAAATATGTGTTAAACATGTTTAAAAATAATTTTTTGTCGGTCATTTTGTTGATTAGGGGACAGTTTTTGCCTATGCCTATGAGAATTTGTACGCCATTTGTATGCCATGATATATAATGTTGGATATTCTACTTGACTTTAAAGTCTCAAACTTGCTGCAGAAGAGGAAATTGATTTGAGACAGAAAACTTTAATTAAATGTCATAGGCAACAACTTTTTCAGTTTTCTTTTAAAAATGTTTTTTACTATTCCTAACAATCAAATTGAATTCAAATTACCATACCTCTACTGGATTTCAAAGCTCCATAAAAATCTTTACAAACAAAGATACATCTCGAGTTTTTCAGAATGGAAGAAATTGAATCGATTTTTGTTCTATTATACACTCACTATTCAAACATGCACTTTATTCAACTAATACAGAGGCCTCTCCAGAGAAATTGTAGAGGCCCATAGGAAGCAATATCAGTTTGTTTGTTTTTTTTTGGGGGGGGGGGTCAAACATTTAATTGGGGGAAGCTGGAACTGTCAAGCGAAAACTACTTTACAAGCAAAAGAAAGTCTTCAGACGTTATTACTGAGGGGAGCACGCATTAGCTAGCTATGTTTTCTATAGTATACTAGATGTAGGAAAATAATTGGGAGAGGTTAGCCATGCACCCCGTTTTCTACGGGAACGTGTACAGCTAAATTAAGGAATGAAAACAGTAGGCAATTCCTATTAAAGGAAAAAAAGTTTGGATATCAATTGCAAAATAAAATACAGTTTAAATTGATATGAAATTACAATATCTATAATTTAAAATCAGAGGCATATTTCAAAAATGAAAAGGGGGGACTCCCTGACATTTCTGTTCAAGAGGATTTAAATACTGTAATTAAAGATTAGTTTAATTGTTTTAAAGAATCCCTTGAGCACGAATCTTTAAATAGAAATTTTACTTAAATGTCATTTTAATAGTTTATCTCTTTCAAGGTTATATTGCAATACTTGAGCACATAGTAGATAGGATATATGAGAGACGATCCATCGGGTCTAACTCTTACTTCTAGGAAGTCGCTAAAAGAATGAGAGAGTCGATTTTAACACCGGGTGTATACGACAGTTTTTCGATTCAAAAGGTATTTCACGGTTACTGTGGAATCATTTAAATTTGTGGGGGTCAATGTTCGTGGGCAAGCAAAATTTTATTGGTTCGTGGGGATGTAATTTCGTGGGCAGCTCGTTTATTTGGCAGATTTAATTAATCAGTACGTTGACAAAAAATGTTCGTGGGGATGTAAATTCGTGGGTAAGGGTTACCCACGAAATCCATGAACATTGATCCCCCACGAACAATGATGATTCCACAGTAACTCATATTTGCACAAATGCTATACCGCACAGAAAAAAAATAAAGTAGATAATTTGATCTTCCATCTATAAATATTTAATATGCAAGCTGTGTAATGCAAAAAAAATTTACGCAGAAGAATACTATATTTTGTTTACTTCGAACCTACAGTATTTTGTGACTCCCCTTTTTAATCGTTATCCCTCTTTTGAAACTAAAAATCTCCACCGTGCATTTTTGGGGTTAACATGCCCTATTATACCTCTACTGATTTTTTCCCTATATAACATTAGATCGTTAGATGTGACTAATTCCCTAGAAATCGTTATAAATGGACTAATCCCCGTGCGTTATTCAAGTGAGTTAATCCCTGCTTCGAAAGCTAATCCTCTAGATTTTACTTTTACATTGGTATGATATGTGAATGGACTAATCCCCGTGTGTTAGTTCAGTGAGCTAATCCCTGCTTTGAAATCACGCTATCTGAATCCTCTAAAGAATGAAGGCGTGTAAGGCGCGGACAATCCCCCGCTCTGAAAGAAGATATTTTTCAATTCTAAAAGTTCATGAAAAGTTATATATTTTTAACAAATTACATCGTCAATATAATCTTTAACACTTTGCTTGCTATATTTTGTTGAATAAATTATTGACAAATAATTTATTTTTACTAATGTTTTAAGCTTAAGGTATGTCAGAAAGAAAAAAAAAGCTTCACGCATGATTCGAACTCTATCCAAAGCTCACGGTTAGGCGTAAGACTGAACGCGTTAACCATTACGCTACGAAGTCTGCTTGTCTTGTTGTGTCAGTGTGATTTAAATAAAAGACTTTGTTGAAGCGTAAACGTTTTTCAGAAAATGTTCGATTTTCATATAGAATGAGTTCAGACTCCATTTTTTAAAAAAAAAAAAAAACATGGAATAGATTTTACATTTACTTTTCCGTCATATAAACGTTAATGAAGAATGGAGACTTGACCCATTCATATTCAAAAATCATTTTTATGGCTCCAATAAACCCATTTTCCACTTAATATGCTTAACTGTCAACTTTAAAAACAAATTAATAAGTTAATTATAGTAAATCAAAGTGTCAAAGTTATCACTATAGTAAATCAAAGTTTTCATAGTGATCACTATAGTAAATCAAAGTTTTCATAGTTATCACTTTAGTAAATCAAAGTGTCAAAGTTATCACTATAGTAAATCAAAGTGTCAAAGTTATCATTATAGTAAATCAAAGTTTTCATAGTTATCACTTTAGTAGATCAAAGTGACAAAGTTATCACTATAGTAAATCAAAGTGTAAAAGTTATCACTATAGTTAACTATAGTAAACTATAGTTAACTATAGTATTTTTTTGTTAGGGTGTGGATGATGAGAACAACCTCTATTTGGGACAATTAGACAACACACTGACAGTGTACAAGTATCTCCAGTAAAAAATAAAAATATAGCAGCTATTCCATAACATTTACATATACAGTTATTACATATTTCAATCAAACAACAAAACAAATTGGATCTTGTGCATCAATGATACTGGAAATGAATCGTTTTGAGACACACAATTTAAGGGTGAATTCCTTAATATACTTGTATTAGATATATACTCGTATGTAGAAGTAAATGGTATTGTCATTCAATTTTACCTTGTTAATTATTTAATAGTTTATTAATACGGTATATTATTTACTAATATTTATATATTATTCTACAGGATTTTCTTATCTCTACTTGTTGATCTATATATTTTAGAGCAATATTTATATAGAATATATATATACTGTACATCTAAATATGCTCTTCTGGTTTATTTCCAAACATGCACATTGTCATATATTTGTACCTGTTATGTAATGTACAACACTGTTCACTACATTTATGAAAATAAAGTATTTTCATAACATGACCATGATGTGAATCTTAAGTTGTATGATCCTGGTATTACATGTAATAAACACTATATTATACGATAAACATATATTAAGCAAATCCGTGAAGTGTAAATTCCAGTTGGTTGGGGCGGGAAGAGATATGTGATAGGAGAAGTGAGCATTCACATTTAGAGAGAGAAAAAAAATGTTAAATTTTGTTGAAAACGGAATTGGATGTCAAACTTAACCTATCCCATGTTGTGATCTAGCTCACCCTAATCCATCCATGAATTGAGTAAACTGAAATCTTCATGGGATTATGCTTGTATTTAATTAATTTAACTTAAAGTGTAGCCTTATTGGATGTTTTCGTTGCAGGATTAGAATAGAACATTGTGTTGTTATCATGGTATGTAGAAATCAATTTACAATTTGCTACAGAGGTTGTGGATTATCAGAAGCTATAAAACCTTTGAGCCCACGTAGAGTCCATTTCATGGGCGGGATTCCCTCCTTCTTGATGTCAATTTCCATGATGGGGTCACGCAGTGCTATTCTGGAGGGATAGAGTGGGCACTGGATAGAGGGTTCCTGTAGGGCGGGTTTCTCGTTAATCGGGTAGCACTGTAGATGGAGGACAGGAAGTGGGGCATAACCCTGTCTGGAGGCCTGGTCCTGGAATTCTTTGGTCGTCTTCTCAATGGAACATCCCCAGAGGTGGATACCATGGATGTACACACCCTCTGGTGGAGGCTGAAGCAACTAAAGAAGAAAGCAGAAGTTCTACATCAGAACGCTTTTTTATTTCCCTAATTTTTTTGTATACACAGAAAATTCTCCTGAATATCAAAAATCAACTTCTTTTATCAATGCCATTTAAATTCTTGTTTCACAAACATCTTTATCTGCAGCACAAAGCAGGTTTCCTCTGTAACATTTAGATTTTAACAGAAGCTAAGCATGACAGCTTTAGAAAATATCCCTTAAACCTGAAACAATGAAATTTCCCTTTTTTCCCTAATTTAAAAAAATATTCTTACATGTCCAAAATCTCTGAATGTTGTGTCAGTCTGGAAGGTAAACTGTTCGAAATTGCCTGATCTATCTCCACAGTAACTTTTGATGGCTTCCTTTTTCAGCAAGGCAAGGAAACCTCTAGGATTGAGGAATGCTCCTAACCAATAGGCTGGCATGGCCTTCCTTCCCTGTAACATGCAAAAAAAAATACGATATTTTCAACAAAAATTCAAGTCATGTAGAATTAAAACCAAACAATACCTAATAATTAAGTATTCTTGTTTACTTTGCTGCCTGGATTGAACTAAAAATGGGAGTCAAGAATTTTTTTCCATCACAATGTTTCTCTGTGTTTACTCATCAAATATTTAATCCATTTTCAAAACTTGAAATTTGCAATAAAGAATGAAAAGAGAAAAGTGTAAAT